GACAATAGTTCTTGGATTATAATGAAAAAAAATTAGGAGACCTGGGAAACATCCAACTCTTCTTGGTAAGAATTGGAGGCTCTTTAAATTATTCCTAGCTGGGGCCTAAGCTAAATAATTGATGTAATAGACTCAAAACAAGTTTTAAAAAAATGGCACATCTACAACTGGTGGGGGTCCTGCTTGCATTCAGCAAGGACACAAACAGGTCTGCATTACAATTAGACACAATTTAATGAGATCATTACCCTTGGGAGGAATACACGTCCACTTTTTATGGCTGACCTGTTTGCCCCCATGTAAATAACCAGGGAATCACTGCAGTGAGTGTGAAAACTCATCTCAAACAAAGTTATCTGCAAGTGTGGCTTCAGTCTCCAAGTTAATGAAGTGAAAGGTGTCAGATCAAAGGTTCCATCACACCCAGTTCTCAGAAGGTCTTAGGGACAAAGATGGAACCATTTTTGGTGCTAATGAAATGTGGAGTTGGCAGAGAAGAAGCAGAGCTGGAGAAACAGGACTCAGAAATGGGGACTCATGGAAGGCACGAGATGCTTTTACTTTAGGAGCAGAAGTGGCTGCTTAGGGGAAACTCAATGCTTTTAATCAAGTATCTCTTGGAGCATCTTTCATCTCAGAAGATGTCATATTCCTTCCCTTCATCTTCTATCTCTCTGCCAGTGCTGAACAGTGTGACATCATCTGCAACAGTGCCAGAACAGATACTGTGAATCACAGATATTCCTGCAAATGCAGCATGAAAATATGCCCAGGGAGTTACATCCAACTGGGCTGTGCTCGTGTGTGCTGGGTGGGGAATGAATCCAGCAGCACAGAGCTTGATGCTGAAGCAGGGACTGAAATGTTCCCTAGGGCACATTATCAGTACCTTATTTCCAAATTATATGCAAGAAGTTGCTCAGAAAATAAGTATCCATCTATGGGACACTGTCTGAAGAGTTTTGAAAAGGGCCCCGTTACAAAAACATTTTATAGCAACAAAACTGTTATATAGAATAATTATTCCTAATTAAGGAAGTGGACACTTACAGAGTGACCTTAACTTTAAGGTCCATGAGCATCTGAGTTTTATGTGGACTTCACACCAGATACAGGTGGAGTGACTGTACCAGATAAAAACTGTAAACATCAGATTTGATTTAAAATCACAGAAATCTCGGAGTGCAACTAACATCAACGTCATTAAAGTCTACAAGCAGGACCTGCATGGCTCTGGACACGTTTTATGCCACTTTGGTGTCCCATCTCTCCACAGGGAACCACTTCACAGATCCTTCCATCAGAAGCAGCCCCAAAAATAAAGTGTTTAACTCAGTTTTGGGGTTTTTTGACTACAGATTTGTCCTATAATCAAATTTCATGTGTGTTCAGTACAGTCAATACACAAAAATGTAAATTACTTCTCCACAAGAAAAGCAGCACTGACAGAGAATTAGATGTTCCTGGAACCTGCATAAACCTTTAACAGAATGAGTCAAAATATCTATTTAAATATAGAAAAGAAGTCAATAAAAAGCTAAATGCTGAAAATTATTTAGAGAGAAAAAAAAACCCCATCATCATCTTCTCCCACTCCAGTTTACTCATGTGTGCTGCTCAAAGGGAGCTCTTTTATGAGATATTTTCAGTGTTCCAAGGTTGCTTCCTTTGAGCATTGTTAGCCTGTCCACTGCTCTGCTCGGGCCGTGCTTGCTGAATGCTCATTTCCTCTGCCAAGAAAATCCCACAGAACATTGCAAACAGCGCCGGCGGCCAAGCCCCACATCTGCACACACTCAGACTCTGTCTCCTGCTTTCAGTCCTCCCTGGCAAACCTGGACCTGCTCTGAGCTCTGTGCACTCCACTGCACCTGGCCCAGGAGGGGCCGTGCCCCCAGTGCTGCTGAGGCCACCTGGAGCACACCTGGCCCTGCCCAAACCAGGAGCCAGCAGCTCCAGGCTGAGCGTTCCAAACACCCAATAATCCTGGAATGGCTTGGGTTGGAGGGACCTTAAAGATCATCCCATCCCACCCCTGCCATGGCAGGGACACCTTCCACTGCCCCAGGCTGCTCCCAGCCCTGCCCAGCCTGGCCTTGGGCACTGCCAGGGATCCAGGGGCAGCCACAGCTGCTCTGGGCACCCTGTGCCTCACCCCCATCACAGGGAAGAATTCCCTCCTAATAGCGTGAAACACCTTGCAGAAAAATGATCCTAAAACTTCTGTCAGTACTACAGTACATTTTTTGTACTTACCTTTCTTAAGCAAGTAAGTACAGAAAATCCTGAAAACACACCAGTATCTTCCAAACACCTAACAATCCTGGAATAGCTTGGGTTGGAGGAACCTTAAAGCCCATCCAGTGCCACCCTTGCCATGGCAGGGACACCTTCCACTGCCCCAGGTTGCTCCAAGCCCTGTCCAGCCTGGCCTTGGGCACTGCCAGGGATCCAGGGGCAGCCACAGCTGCTCTGGGCACCCTGTGCCTCACCCCAATCACAGGGAAGAATTCCCTCCTAATAGCGTGAAACACCTTGCAGAAAAATGATCCTAAAACTTCTGTCAGCTCAAGCAGGTAAGTACATAAAATGCTGAAAACACATCAGTATCTTACAGGAGCAAAGCAGGAAAAAAGGTGCACAATCCTAACAGTGTCCCAGGAATCTCCACCAGACACCAACCCTGACAAACCCCGAAGTGCTAAGGGAGTGCTCAGGAACTGACATTACAATAAACAATGTCCCAGCCTTACAGATGGGAATTTTAAGCAACAGAAAATTAAAGACCTCAATAAATCATGTGTCCCTAAATATCAAAAAGATGTCTACAACCCACAACAAATATTTCAACATTCTGTGTGCCTGTAATGAAGACTCGTCCTTCCCCTGTCTCTGCCCCTCACTCTTCTCATCCCCACAGCAGCAGGAGGGCAATGCCAGAGGAATCCTGGATCTTCTTCACCCATTTACAGCTCTGTTTTCCTTGTCATTGAAGAATGAATCATTTCTTTTCTATTTCCTCATGTTCACGTTAACAACAGTCCACAATGACACAAAGCAATCCACACAGAAATTAACATTATTCCCAGAGCAGATCACAGAGGAATGAGATCCCTCACTTGAGAATGGAGTGACCTTCAGAAAATCTGGCCAGTCAGATGTTCCACGCCTAAACTGTGAAATTCAGCTTCCCATTGGATTTTTAAGCAATCTTCATAGAATTGGCACCAAAAAAAAGTAAATTTAGAGAACAAATTTTTCTCTCATATTGCCCTAAATTTCCAGGTAACAACATCTGGTAGAAAATATTTTCAAAAACAAATTTCAAGGCTCATGATGCTTTTTTCCCCCTCATGGATGAATCCATCTTCATCAAGGTTCTGTGGACCAGGACCAAGATATGAACTAAATTAGCTGAAACTGCTACTTTTGAGCTTTAAATGGAGCTTGCCCTCTAAGCTACTTTGAGTTTTGGATTTTGTGGCTAATTTCCACAGTTCTACAATTGCAAGACATAAATGAAACAGAATAGGGAATGGAGATTTGAAGGTAATGCCAGGTATTTTCACATGTCTGTGAAAGACTTTTCAACAGAGATACTTTCCTCTTTTCCCCTCCTATCTTTTACTCGACATGTGCTTTCAGATTAGGGTAAAAATAGGGAAGTAGGTTAAAGAAAAAAAGTACAATAGCAGTTAATATAGCTTAAAATTAGCAAATTTTTTGAAAAATAGAAAAAAAATCCAACAAATTAAAGAAAACCAGCATTTCTGACAGAAATGACAATTCAAGACTATTAGAGATATTGCCCTATGAAGGATTATTTGTAACTTTAATTTGAGGATGTAAAGAAGTTAACTTTTCTTTTGCTATACTACACATGTAAAAAAAGATCAAAGAAAGAAAAGAATTGAGATTCAAATTCCATTTTTAAGCAAAAATGACAATGTCTTCCTGAGTTAAAATTAATCCTTTAATGATGAATTTCAAAGGTTTAAATACTTTCTGTGACCTTGGCTTTAAATAATTATGCCAAGCAGAGCTTTCCTTACATTCAGAAAAGATTCTGAATTGTTGATCACAGCCATTTTAATGGTTTCAGGCTGGCTGATTTCCAACATAATCCTCCGAATGCTCTTCAAAATTACAAACCAAGAACCTGACGCAGGTAAATGAAATGTCACTTGCACAAAGGCTGCTCAAACACTCCATGCAGATTGTTAATTTGTGCCACTGCACATCCCCTTGCAAGAAAATGTGTGATTTAGTGCCTTAATGCAACGTATAAAAGAGACTTCAACAACTATCTGCTTACACACACACAGAGTCTACCATAAATATTAAGTAGCTTTTTTTTTTTAGTTTGGCTTTTGAAATAAAACTTGCATGTTTTAGCTCCCTAATGCGGGGGAGATACTTGAAATAAAGACAGGGGTCCAAGGGATGCTCAGCAAGCAGTGGGCAGTGACCCCACAGAACAGAATTGGAGGGAAGCCTTGTTCAATCTAAAACGTTAATTTCTATTTTCAAATCTTACCCAGAGTCTTTTCTCCATTGATGGGCACCACAAGCAAAATTAGACCAGCCACTGTGAGCAACCAGACACAACTTCCTTGCACCCTGAGCCTGAGTTTTTCCCTCCTTAAAGCTCACCCTCTTTAAGGGAGAAAAAGTTACTGGCTAGGCAGAACCACCCTTTCCAGTGTCTCTATTCCAGCAGAGGAAGATCAACCTGCCCTGGCTGGCTTTACCTATGAAATCACCTGTGTTTTAAAGTGGAGCTGCTGCCCAGCCCCAGCATGTCTACAGCAAAGCTTTCCCTCACAGGACCCCAAAACACCCCACACTCCTGCTGTGACTCTGGCACCCCATGGTCTGCACCCGTTTCTTCAACTCAAGTGACCCCTAAACATTTTTCCTCAGGGAAACCTTGCTCAGCTGACCTTCGGGGTGCTCCCTCCCCTCCTGCCCCGTGGAGCTGCTCTTTGGGACTCCCTCACCTTTCTCAAGGCCGCCTCCGTCTCCGCCGTGTGCCTCCTCTTCAGCTCTGATATCACTTTTTCCATCTCCATCTTGAGGCTGTTCAGTGCTGCCTCCTTGTCTCGGGATGCCTTCAGCTTCTCCTCGTCCCTCTGGAGGCTCAGGTCCAGCAGCTGATGGTTCCGCAGGGCGTTGGCCTGGATCAGCTCCTCCCTCAGCTTGTGGATTTGGTTCTCCAAACCAGAGATCACCTGAGAGAAAGAGCAAACAAAGTGACAAAACCCAAACCCACAGCACAAAACCCACTTGGGTTCTATCGGTGCTAGAAATGCATGATAGGCAGGAAGAATGATGCACAGAACTCCATTGTATCAGAAGGCTAATTAATTACATCATTATACTATATTATACTATAACTACATTACAAAGAATCCTAAAGAATACTAAAAGATACTAAAGAAAACTCCTGACAGTCAAGACACAGCTTTGTGTCAAGGAAACAAAACAATCCTCAGCAGAATCCAATTCCCAAATTCCTTCAGGTAAATAATCTTCCAACACATTCCACATGTGCACAAACACAGAGCAGCACATGAGATAAGAATTGTTTTGATCATTCTTTTCTCTGCTTCTCTCACAGCTTCTCTCTGTTCAGAGGGCATGTGAGTACCACAGGTTTCCTCCAACAGGCAGCACCTGGGGTAGGAGCAGACTCAGAGGATGCTCTGCTCCTTCTCCTGGCCCCTCTTCTTGCTCTTCCCTTTCTCTCCCTGCACACAGATAAATACACCCTGCCCACAGCACTGCTGAGAGGGACCCTTCTGGAGGAGAAATTGAGCTTGTGGCATATAACCACTCCATATCCTACCCATGCCTTCTTTTTTTATGCTTAAGAAATGACCTGCATCCTTCTAATGAGCAATCAGAGCATCATCAATCATTGATCAATCCCTGCCTGCCCCCGAGGGGGGAACACAAAGGGGAGGGATGGAAGTGACAGGAATAAAGCTGTGTCATTCCTTGTTGAGTTTTATTGTTTTTTTCTTCTAAGGTCAGGATTAAATGTGCAAGATGGGATTTCTTGTTCAGATTTTATACGTTTATTAGTTTTTATTTATATTACAGTCTCACAAGCTGTGAGTTTTACAAGTTAAAAATTGAGACATATTTCTTTCTATAAGGCTTTTTAAGGACAAACTGTCCAATGAAGAAATGGCACATATATTTATATTATTTTTATTTTTAATCTAATAACTAACTACTTGTGCTCTGCAATGGGGACTTTTTTATCTAATTACATAATGCTACTTGAACTTATGGAGAAGAAGGTGAAGAAGGTAAAGAGGAAGGACTAGCTTCTGTCCTGAAATTTTAATCTTGCTTCATATCTATTACTGTATTCTAAACCCTTAAACTCTAAGTTTTCCACCCTGTGATATCACACACTTCTACCCAAACTCCACACCCACAATCCCAGTTCCATCATTCCATTTTGGAAGCTTCTCCAGGGCCTCAGGTCAGTGCAGTGTTCTCTTGGGGGTCGGTGCCTGGCAGCACAGAAAGTCCCCAATTCTCAGTAACCAGGGTTCTAACAACTCCTAATTCCACAGAATTCACTCTGCTGCTTTACCACAGGAGTAGATACACATCCATTACTTCAGATTACACTTACTAACTCTCACTAGTTACTTTTCTATCTCCATTTCCTCTGTGGGTTCTTCACTGGGGTACACGAACATCACATCTGGGACATAAAGCACCCTGACAGCTAAGTGTGATGACACTGACAGCACATCTACGTGTTCATTCATAAATGTAATTCTGAAAATGAGCACTTTCACTACAAAACTCACACAGAATTTCCCCCTTTCTCCTCCCTGTTTCACAAGACACTTTGCAGTTGCCTGGAATTCTTTCACAGAGGATGTGACAATACTGAGAGCAGAAATTGATGTTCTACCAAGTAAGTGCAGGTGACTCAGCTCAAGCTTATTAAAGGTTTCACAGGAAAATCTGAGGAAAAGCAGTGTATATTTAAAGTTCCCATTGTCCTGGAATGCCAGTTTCTCTCCAACTACTATTTTTCTTCTTCAGACATTTTTAATACACTGTCTGTACTCAGCTACACCATTTATTTGCAGCCTCTGAGAACCACATTAGCACAAAACTTTGAAAAGGAAACATTTGTTTCTGACCAAAGTTGGGACATGAATGACTATCAGATCTATTGCCTTCTACATTAATCTCCCAAGACAGATTCCTATAAATACTGTGATCTGAGAGAGAAAAAAAAATCAAGCCTTGAAAGTTTGCCTATTTTTCAAGCTATTTGAACTATATGGTGTAATAAAAGACATCGTCTCCCTTCAAACCATCAGTTTGTCCTTCAGCTATCCCAGCTGTAACATGTATTAAATAATATCAACCATCTCAGAAACTTATTTTGCTTCCATGCTTTCTTAATTACTCATTGGCATTAGTCCCTACTATGTCAAAGGTAAGAGTGTGTGTATGGTGGAGAAGGAATGAGCACGTCATTTGTATACAGAACTCTACCACAGGCCACATATTTCAGCCCTATCAGCATTATCTCAAACATATGTTTCATATACTGTAATCTGTGCTAGATCCTTTCCTTCCTTTCCTGAGCTTTTCCTCTACACATGTTTAATTTCTTATTAAATCTGTATACAGACTAAAAACGGAAAGTAAGTTTCAGTGTATAATTATAATCCACAATGTACTTTTATAATTCTTTCGGAAAATGATTTCATCTCCAGATCACAAGAACATGACAGCCTCCCTGGCTTTTCCTTAACCAGAGCAGCACTAACTCAATGAAGATAAGAGCTGCAATTGCTGATGGGTGATATGGTCTGAGCTCCAAAGTGACACACTGAGAATTTGGGGTTTTTAACAGCTGCCCCAGTGCAAGTCCTGCCTGAAATAGCGACAATAATCTTTTAATCTGTTAGAGTTCTTTTTGAAAGCTCTTTCCCCTACTCTCATTTTTCCCCTCCTATTTTAAAATAAAAAAACTTCTTTTAATTATACCCCCAACACACACACATAAGTGAAACTAAGAAATTACATTGCTCAGAAGTTCCCTAAAAACTTTGTTAAAATATTTAGGATAAGAAACCAGGTCTAACTTTTTATAATACAAGGAAAATTCATTCACAAATGACACTAGAAGCCAAAATAAAGACTAGGTGAATTCCTGTTACACCTTTCAAGCTTTACTTCCTTCATTATTCAATGGTTCTTATACAAAGTCACCAGAAAATGAAACACAATCCAGTGTTTTCTGTAAGGAGAAAGTAACAGCTCCCAGCCTTCAGAGCCAAAACAGGGGACAGCTGAGAGTGAGCTGAATGCTATAGGTAAAGCAACAGTAATTAATATGCAAAGGAGCATTAATGTTGGACCTAATAGATGGCAAAAGCAGATTTGGTTCTATTAGGGAAGAAGAAAGGCTCTGAAGACGGGGTGATGGCAGCGAAACTAATATGATTAAAGGAGTCCCTTTGGAGCAACTTCACTGCCAGTAAGATGATGTTAAGAGACATCTAATCTCTCCAAAGTGACTGGAAAAAGCTCATATTGGGGATCACAGACACAGTTCTTGTCAATTACTTTCAAATAAGTCCAGTTCTCACAGCCAGATTAGTTTTTCCCATAAACAAAGTCAGTGGCAGAAGCAGCTTACGCCCAACTCAGCGCCTGAGACAACTTTGTGTGACATGGAGATGTCCCCACTGCTGCACGAAATGAATCCCAAACTTTCCAGCACTAAGACTCTGCTATTCCACATGCCAGGTTTAATAAACTATTATTAGACTTAAATGTAGGCAAATTAGGGAAAAAAAAAAAGCCCCAAAATGACTTAATTCTCAGTTGCGAAAAATCCATGAAATATAAAACTTATGAGCAACTGTCTTTTCTTAACGATTCTGTGGGAAAATAAAAGCTGCAGTTACAAAATCTCACTTCTCAGGCTGGAGATCCAAAGGCACGATGGTTTCTTTGTAACACTGAGTCCTCTTTCTCAGTCTTGGTTTCTCAAATTCTCCTCTGGCTGCCCAAATCTCTGTTTGGGAACCAAATGGTTTGTATGGTCCAAACAACTGCTTGAGTACAAGAGCTGCTGTTAAAAAAACTCACCTTAAACACCCCATCTCAGCAAATTATTATTGTGCTAAATGAGGATTAAACATAAGAAATAAGGGCTGACAGTATGTAACAGAGACAAAATGTTACTGCCACTTGCTGCCTTTTCTGGATCAAAGTGTTGTAGTCTCTATTTCGGTGGTGTGGGTACGAGCACATGAAATAGAGAGATCTGTATCTATTTTAGAAAGGATGCAGAAGTTTGTAGCAATTCCCAGGATGGCCATGCCACAGGAACATGCCCCAAACAAGAAGCATTTTGTAAAATGACCATTAATCCATATACAGGACAACAAACAGAAAGACAACACCAGCTTACACAGTTTCCCAAATGGAACAAAAATACATAAACTGTGTGACAGAAATTTCATAAAGGTTTATGTGACATATTTGTATGCCCCTTAGATGAAGAAACTGCTGGCCAAGGTGGTGATTTCTATTTCTGTTTCAAAGAAATAACTTAGAATTCTCACTAAGAATATCTGTGCTGAAATAGTGTCATAAAAAGGGTGGGTCATAAGCCCACAGCAATTTGCCTGCAGGGAAAAAATAGACTTGAAAGAAAAAGAAGAAGGTTGGTCACTCGCTTTGGCCTATTTAAAATGCCAATAAATGTACTGCGTGTTATTTGGAAGGAAAACATGTGCTCTTAATTTTAAAAAGTAAATTGCATAAGAAAATATAAAGTTGGCAAAAAGTTTAAATTAAAATCTGTTGCTGATGTCTGAAACTCTGCTCCACTTCCAGGCAACGGGGATGAGAAATGGACCGAATGACTACGGCCTAATTAAAAACAATAATAACACAAATTCCCTTTATTTTCCAGGAGCTGCTGCTTCACCCCCATGAAGCATTTCCTTGGATGAGTTTCTGAGGAAGAGGCTGGAGCATGACAGCATCTCCACCCTGACGGGGATGAGCACACGGAGCTCATCCCCCTCCTCCCCGTGCATTACACACCAAACCACATCCACCCAGCACCACGCTCAGCTCCAGTCTGTGACTTTTGAAAGTCACAAAAACAAGGCAGAGGAGAGCTGAGATGAAAAGCACTCCTCGTTTATTCCCCGTGGTGCAGATC